ATTGCATTGTATTATATTATATTATATAGCATTGTATTGTACAGTATTGTATTGTATTGTATTGTATTGTATTGCATAGTGTAGTATTATATTATATTATATTATATTATATTTTATTATACATTGTTGTATATTATATGATATTATATATTTCTAAATTATTGACGCAGTTGGCGCCATAGCACTCCCCATAAGAAGATGGCATCGGAGGAAGCCTTAGTCAACAAGGTGCGGGCTTGGCTGAGCGGATTGGGCCTCGACGAGGTGCGGTTTCGTCTGCTCTGTTCTCATTCTTGGGTTATCTGCTTCGAGCGTATGTCAGCATCGTCTCTGTCATCACCGGGTTGATCCGGGTTGCCTGGGGAAGCTTCTCCTTGGAAAGTGGGTACTACGTAGTACAGAAAGCGTTCTGTGGGCAGTTACGAAACTGCAGCCAAAACGGCCGGGTGCATCAGGCGCCAGAGCTGGCCCTAGCACCTTCTCTCGGTGGCGCCGCACTTCTGGCATTGGAAGAATTGGAGGCCCTCGGACAGCAACTGCGAGAACAGCACATGTCGGTAGTAAAGCGAAAGCAGCGGCTCACTTCTCCGAATCCGAGGAGCTGGTCAAGGGCGGCCAGGTGCCTCGGACTTGTTGCCCAGACACCGCAGAGAAACCGTCCGCTCCTTGAGGTGGATGTAGAGAAGTCGCAGCACCCCAGCCGCATTCAGATTCCGCTCAACTTTCGCCTTCACTTGGTGCTGCGAGATCTCTCTCTCATCCAACTTGTCAGCAGCCTTCTGGTGAATTCATTGGCTGTTGATGCAGGCATCTGATTTGGACCCAGTTGTATATCGGAAACGAGTCACACAGCATACCTATGTCCCGCCGAAACATATCATAAGCACATGATCCAGCAAGCTGGAGTATTACTGTGACTGCACCACACCAATTCCCCAGCAGGGTGCGACACGAGGTCTCGGACAAAATGTACCATGTTTGTCCTGAATCCGCATGGCAAGTCATCTCGCATGAGACCCGAAGCTTTGAAGAGTGGGAGCCAAGGCATGCGGCTGCTTGGAAGGCGACCTTGGAGTCTGCACACAGGGCCCTGAAGAGGGCGAGCTCCTTGGCTCTACTTGGGCAGATGTTCAGCGGAGGCAGCTTTTACCAAGGGTAGCAGCATGCAGCGGAGAGCGAAGAGATAGCTTCGGGAGCATTTCCGCAGCGCGAGAGCACGTGTCAAGGTGAGGATGTGATGCCGCCGCTCAGCTCCTGGGAGCAGCTGCAGATCGCATTTCCAGCGGTAAGAAAGCGCCTGATTCCGCTGGCGGATGCTTGTCAGGTCAGAGCGTATTCACCAACTTTTTCGAGTTGCTGCAAGTCCAGGTGTTCTGCTGCTGTTCGGCGCTCTCTCTGCTTGCTTGTTCCAGTCTTCGCGTTTGGCAGCCAATGGTATCGCTCTTCTCTCCAGACACCACCGGGCTGTCTTCTCGCTGTTGCATACTAGCAAGATAAGAGCCCCCCTTCATGATGTTCGTCCAGTAATGCCGAAAAGCACATGTGCGGACCAGTCACCGACTCGTTTTGCCCAGGAGCTTACCATCTCTACCTCACCCGCGCTCTCGTCGCGCAGTGCTGAGTGGACTCAAGGCAAACAAATTAATTTTCACCTTGCTGCTGGGACAACTGGAGGACAACAGGGAAGAACTTGCATTCATTCGGATGATCTGGATCCCGTTACCGAGACCGGTTTTGCATCTTGCCCGCACATGATCCACAGCCTGTACACAAACATACCGTAGCAGCTCCTTGCCTTCTAACACATCAGTAGAGGCAACACGCCCCGCAGCGTCTTCGTGTCTCATTTAGGAAAGGCTTGGCGGTGGAGCTCAACTCGCTGCCGTTGAATTTGCCCTTCGCTCCAGGCGGTGGCAATTGAGTTACAGGGCTTCCCAGTGTCCTCCACGATTTGTCATATCTGGACAGAGCCATATGA